CTGTGAAGATCTTTCAGTGGAGACGGAAGGGCGGTGTGGTTCTTATGATGACGTAGTGTTGGGCAGTGAGGACAGTGTGACTGACACGGGTGGAGAACGTAGTTCAGAGTTTTTGTCCGATGGTGGCACTGGAAGTCGTTTGGAAGAAGAGAGTCAACTCAAATCACCTGGGAGAACAGGTGATGGGAACCACTCTCAAGTCCGCCATCTTTCTGTAAATACGGTCAGGAAATGCAGGGCAGTGCAGTTCAACAGAGTACCAGAGGGGGGCGTGTGTTTTGCCGTGCCTCAGGCTGTTTCCTTTGACGGAGTAGATAACAAGACATCTCCACAAAGTCGAAGAAAATCACAGCAAATGAGAAAGAATGACTCCAAAACGTCTTCTCCACTGGTCCACGGGACGTCCATTCCAGGAAAGACCTCCACGCCGAACCCCTTCTCTGAAGCAGTGAGACTGAACCTAAAACCCCAGCAGACTCCACGGACGTCTTTCACGGTCTACAGCGACCCCGTCAGGTTCGCTCCTGTGTCACGGACGTCTCTTAACCCCGCCAATAAAGTTCTGTCCGCTTTGTCTGCCAACACACACTCGTCGTTCACCAACCGGTCCTTTTCTGAGACTGCAAGAGTTCGGAAGGTCACGTCCCCACTGTGCGCATGCGGACGTCGTGCAAAGCGACAGGTTGTCTGCAACGGGGGTCCGAACCAGGGGCGGGGTTTTTTCTGCTGTCCTGTCCGGCGGTCAGGTAGCTGTGGAAAGATCCAGAAGGGATGTGACTTCTTCAAGTGGGAGTCATCTCTGATGAAGAGCAGCGGACTGGCGCCCCCTGCTGCCCTGGCTTCGGTATCACTGAGTCACAACAACTCAACTTTTAGCTGTGGTCTCCAGCAGAGGGCGACGTTGAGATAAGGTTAATAATGTTATTGAATATAGATAATGTGCTGGTGTAACTACGGTCCGTTTTTAAAAAGTCCCGTTGACCTTTATTTTTACTAACGTAATATTTTGATAAGAATGGACAAAACGAAGTGAATGATGGACAAGTGTCTGTTGACAGACATACGTGTGTGTGTACACCACGGTAAGTGAACTGTGTTTGAATGTTGAATGACTGTTGTGTCTGTACGGTGGCCTCGGGAACATTCACTGTGTCAATATTTGAAATACTCATTTTTACTGTAGTACATTTCCCTCAGATCTGTTGTTTTCTTCTACTGAATTTCCCGGTGTGGGATGAATAAACTCTTATCTTCTGTGAATTGTATTTGAACCGAGATGTGTTTTAATGTGTAACAGGATGACACCGTCCTCATTAATTGGGGTTTTTAATAAAATACATTTTTACCAGTTTGTCGCACTTACATTTGTCCTGTTCCTCTAAAATACATTTTCAGTTGTACTTTATATTTATATGGACAGTAAATATAAATATATAAAGTATGTGCTAAGATTTTCTGCCTTCTCAGGAACATACGCTGTCGATTGTTTTTGTCCCTCCGCGCTCACCGTAACTACCAAACTGAAAACGTGCTGTTGTGAGGCGTTTCTTTACACTGGAAACAGCTGCAGGTCAACGTCGTAGTTTCAATTCCAAACAACGGGATTTGTCCGCTTTAAGTGGCGTAAACGCGGTGAAACTCCTAAAGTACCTGAGAAGGAAACCAAACATCAACAAGGTGAGAACAAACGGCGGAGACAAAGTCACTGCTAAAGCATGTCAGCCGCGCACAGCGAGTCGAGGAAACGGAACAAGAAGCGCTATGCCGGCGGCCACCACCACAGTAAACGCTGTAAAGGCGCCAGAGAACTGGAGGTCGGAATGAACGGGATCCTCATCACATGCAACATGAACGAGAAGAAGTGCACGGCAGAGGCCTTCAACCTGCTCAATGAATACGCTGACCAGCTGTACGGTCCAGAGAAGGTGACGTCACTTCAGTCAACTGATATATTCGATATAATCATCTGTATTCTGTGCTGTTCTCCCTTCATTAGACCCACAGTTAGCCCCGCAGCTATAGCTTTAACGACGCTAGTTGTCTTTTGTCGATCTGTCGATGACCGATACAATTACCGATACTGATATCGATACAATCTGTATGTTCTTTCACTGCAGTTACAGGAAGATGGTGGGAGCAGCAGCGGGGAAGAAGAAGAAGAAGACGTGGACGTGGCTCTGAAGAAAGAAGTGGCTCAACTGAGGGCGTCTGGACCAAAACAGGAACGACGGTTCCAGGCCTTGGACAGTGGGGCCAACAATGTGATCTTCATCAAAACAAACAGTCTTGGTAAGCTGTGGACCAGTGACGTGTGCTCAGGAGCCATCATTATAAAGTATGTTTAATCAATATCAATATTTTCCACTGATCTGGGTTAAAGATGGATTTTTAGTATGACATTTAAAAAATCACCAAATTTGAGTATTTGGTGATCAAGTACAGAGCAGAAATCCCCGGTGAAGCAGTGGAGAGCAGTGACTCACATCTGAGTGACGATCCAAATTAAATCTGTGCTGCACTTTTCTCTTTTACAAATCTGTTCCTGTGTATTTGTTGGTGTTGGTGTGAGTGGAACTGAAAGAGGAACGTTGATGGATATGAACCATTACCAGGTGATGATGATGATGATGATGATGATGATGAACAGTGAAATAAGATGAGCCGTGAACGTCACTGCTGTGGACGTTCAACAACCGACCTGACTTACAGTCACTGGTTCAAATGTCTCTTCTTCTTCGTAGAGTCTGACGAGTTGGTTCATCACATTCTGTCTGATCTTCACTCATCCAAGAAGAAAAAGTCACGAGTGATCCTCCGGATGCTTCCGGTGAGACGCTTGGAAAGAAACCAAAGTGATGAATGAAGACGTGGACTCCAGAGCTTCTTTAACGTGACGCCACGTTCTAATTGCAGGTGACTGGAACATGTAAAGCCTTCCAGGAGGATATCGTCAAGTACCTGACGACTTTCCTGGAGCCTTGGTTCAAAACCCCAAACTCTGCCACATATCAGATCGCCTTCAAGGCTCGAAACAGCAGCCACAACAAGAGAGACGACATCATCAAAGCAGTCGCAGGTCACTTTTCCTTTCTTTGGCGTAGGGTTAGAAACGTTCAACGTCAGTGAATGAACCTGAAATAACCAGCATGAATTCTTTGGTTGCTGCAGGTCTGGTTGGGAAGATGAATCCTAAAAACAAAGTGGATTTGACCAACCCACAGCTGACGGTCATCGTGGAGGTGATAAAGGCCGTGTGCTGCGTCAGTGTGGTCAAGGACTACACTCTGTACAGGAAGTACAACGTCCAGGAAGTAGTCAAAGTACATGCTTCAAAGTCTGATAAGACAGATCCAGACGATGGTCCTGGACAGGAGGTGGAAGTAGGAAGAGAAAAGACGGAGGAGTCTGGGAACGGCGGCCACGAGTCCCCGGAGAACAAAGACACAGATGAAGGCGGAGTCGACGGGGAGTGAAACTTTTTTGTTTGTTTAAACTTTTAAACCAGTTTTCTAGGTTAACATTTGACAGCGTTTGATTTAAAAAAAAAAAAACGTTTACTTTTCTTTTTCTAACACAAATGTGTGATCAATCAACATGGACATGTTACATCTTAACCCCTGTGTTACAGTACTGCAGTACTACAGTAGTAAAATAATGCAGAAAAGCTGAGGAATATTCATACGTAAGCAGCTCAAATCAAAGATTTGTTAATTTATTTTTAAAAATACAGTTTTCTATCCAAATTAATTGTAAATTGTATAAGAAAAAAGTTGATTAAATAGAAAAATGATCGACTGGCTGTGAAGCCTTAGTTTTAAAAAGTGTTTTTTGGCAAAGATAATATTTTATACAGCTGTCATTTTCTATTCAATGGTTCAACGAGCACAGCTCGAAGATTTCACCTCGTGTCGAATGTGAGCTGTTACATTTTTATCCTTCAGTGAAATGTCCTGTGGATTTAAAATGTCCAAATGCAGTTTTTCTTTTGGCCACAAGATGGTGACAGTGACAGGTATGAACGTTCAAATGACATGTAGATGGTTTTTGTTGAATTCTAAATCGATTACTATTTTTATGTAGAAAATATTTTTAGACAGTATCATTGATGAATCATTGTTGCTCTCAATAAACTGTATTTTTCTCAGTCGAAGTGAAAGGTAATTTATCTGCTCTCAGTCTTTTCAGTGATTATAACAGTTAAGACTTAAATGATCTCCTGTTTTCTCCCATTCCTTTAATATATTTATTTCTTGTCATATTAATTTATGACAAATTAAAATCCACCAATCTAAGGTGGAGCAACGCTGACGTTGTTCTTGTTGTTGTAAACCAGTTTTCAGTTCAACATTTTTAGTCATATTTATATGATTGTTTTTACTTTGACACGTTGGTTTCGTGCAGATTTCTTTAAAAACAAAATTCTTTATCACGGCCACACACACACACACACACACACACATCATCTGAACTGCTGATTATTTTTCTCAGTTTTTTCCTCTTGAGCTGAACTGTTGCACTGACCCTGCGTTCATTATTTCCACTGCGTACAACTAAAACTCCCAGATCGTCCAATCACTGCGATCTGCTGCTGACCTTTTAACCTAAACACACTCTGTTTCAGAACGGTGCCAATTAGACTGTACATGTGGGCTACACTACACGACTGCCCACGTCGGCTGATGCCTTATAATGACATCACAGTAGTGGTGTCAGTGACGCCTCAGCAGTCGGCATGATGACAGCATCTTCACGAAGTATTACTTTAAATGACATGATCAGAAAGGACGTCTAACAGTACAGTAAAGTCAAAGTATCTTCATATCCTCTGTGTTGGTCCACGTCTAACCACCAGACCAAACTGCACTTTCTTAATTCACTTAAGTTTTTAAGTTTTCAGGTGTGAAGATTCTCGGTGTAGTCTGAACAGTCGGTGGTGTCAGTCAACACTGTCAACGTGAGTAACAATCTACCAAAGTCAGGTCAATGTTAATCAGTTAGAATGGCCTTCAAATGCAGTGTGATCCAATGTGTTAATTGCCCTCACAGCCTTTTCTAATTACCCCTCTCTGGTCATTAAAGTCCGTTGTTTTTCTGTTCTCACTGTTCTGTCACCGAGGACTCGTACAGGTTTTAAATGTCACCGCTCTGTGAAACAAAGTGTTCACCAGCGTGTGTGCACGTGCACATGCACGTGCGTCCCCAGGGTCAGGATTAGCATCCACTGGTGCGTCTCCATATCTGACCTTTATGAGGAGCTGAGTGGAACTCTCTGGGGTCTCATTTGTCTCACTTTACCCAAACAGTGGCCACAACACCCCTTATACACACACACACACACACACACACACACACACACACACACACACGACTGTAGCCTGAACAGTGAACAGTGCTGTATGGAACAGTACTAGCTGACACTGACTGTTGGTACTATTTAGTTCAGGTTCAGATCAACGCGTCATCTATTCATCCACATCAGAAACATCAGAGGTGTTAAAGTGAAATCAGGTTCGGATCCAGTTGAGAGATTCCTGAGTCACCGAAACATTTCCTTGGCTGGATGTAAAGCTGAGGTTCTCAAAGTAGGGGGTGCCCCCCCTGCCCCCCTCTCTCCCCCACAGAGTGTTCAGCAAGGCAAATTAATTTCAATTTTAACATAGGTTTCTATCCACGTCCTCCGCCTGAGACATTTCTTTCAGACGATGAGTCACGGCAGGAGTTCGGCTCCACAGTCTCACAGAGACGAGGATTATGGGATTCAGAATCCACAGTTATTTTCCTGCTGCTGCGGAACTGCTCTCCTCGTATTTTTGTCTTTTGTTACGAGGTAGAGTGTGTGTGTGTGTGTTTGCCGTAAACACAGATGGTCAATAGAAGGACACACACACACACATGATTTATTTTGTAGTAACTTCTGGGTCAAATGTTTTATTTACCCAAGAATCGTGCGTGTGTGTGTGTGCGTGTGTGTGTATGTGTGTGTGTGCGTCTCCAGGCTTATTGTGTGAATGCAGCTCTAAATGAGAAGTGCTTATCAACCTTCAGCAGCCTGTCAGCTCCAGCCCCAACAGTCCTGTAGGTGGAGCTGCAGGGCCCTGACTGAATCCAAACATTTGGATTTATCCTGTAAGAAAAGGAACAACTGGCTGAGGATTAGGTTAATTGAGATTATGTTGGGTAACATCATGGGGCAATAATTATTATGATTATTATTATGGGGAAATTAGTTTGTCTAAAACCTGAAATGAAGTTCCATTTTGATTGTGAGAGAAATATGGCTTTTTTAGGACCGGAACAGAAATATGGAGAAAAGAAATGTTTCCGTGACTACAGATTCATGAAGCTCACGCTTGTTGATTGGATATTTTTACAAACACACACTTTACAAGATTGAAAAACTATGGAAGACCCCAGATTTCAAATAGTTTGGTTCAAATTTGTAGGTGTGATTGTGGGATTTTAAAAAAAAAATTCATTTTGAGGGTTAAAAAATCCTGTTAGAATTCAATATAATTCCAAATGTAGATGTATTTTATTGACCCCAGGCTGGGATCTGTCTGACCGACTCCACTTCACTGATTCATTTTCAACAATTTTAAACCTGCGACTGTTATAAGATAACAGTAAACCAACGGCAAACCCGACTTTCAAAGCAGTTTTTTTTCCTTTTGATAATTAGAGAAATGTTTTTTTTTCCTGTTTTCTCCTGTTTTTTGTTAATTTTGGTTTGGATCACAGCTGCCCCTGCTGTCTGAGAGAGGAACAGTGACACGTGTGTGTGATGTTCAGGCTGATGACAGACAAACAGAGGGGGCGCCGTGAGAGGACACACAACCTTAACAGGATTGGAAATGGTAACCAGCAGCTGTAAGAAGTACGGGAGAAAAGAGTCAAAGTGTGAGGAGGGAGGGGTCTAAGACTGAGTCTGGGGGTGGGGGGGCATTTAGGCCAACGGTGTCCAAACACAGGACCGTGTTTGCTGGAATGGACGGACACGCAGGATGAACTATGCAATGGGAAAAGAAACAGAGCAAACCTTGGGATGAAAGAAGGAACCAAACACAATCAAACGCCACCGCCCAGCAGGGGGCCTCGGGATACACCCGTCTCAGAGATGGGTGGTGTGGGTGTGTGCATGTGTGTGTATAGTTTTGTACTGGTCTAATAAACCATTCATCTGCAGGGAGAAGAGAAGAGTGGATGCAGGGAGCGGAGGGTGGAGGGGTTTACAGCAAGCTTTACGTTCCATATTTACGCCCCTGTTCAGACGGACAGATACACAGTCCTGCCCAGAGGTTCTTTGATGCCTGTCGATGCCGCTGCGTGATGATGTCATACGGCAGAGAGCATAGGAGGGAGGCATGATCAAAGAAGAGAGGGAGGGATGAAGAAGCAGGAGAGGATATCCAAGACAACAACGGGACAAAGATGGCGAACGCTTATGCCATGGGACGTCCACTGGCTTCCAGACCTCTGCATCGCCAGGACACACCGGGGCTGGGCAGCAGGTGCATTCAGCACCGGCCTTATTCCAAAAGGATGACCACCAACACCACACACTGGGACCAAGAAGCCAACATCCGCCACTACGGCCGCTGGGCTAACACGGTAAGCTTTCCCTCTACCTTAGCCGTTGCTGTTTTACCATCAAACCCTCAAACGTCCCGACGTCTGTCACCGTCACTTCAGCCAAGTATTTTTCCTCAGACGCTTTTCTTTCCAAATAAAACATTTTCTACCCATTTCTTCTTTTTTCAGCCCTTTCATCATGGTCCTTTGCTTGTTAATATAGGCCTCTCCTTGCCATCAAAGGCAGCACATCAATTGCCCTGACTCCCAAGTGTATGTGTAAGGGTGCGAGAGAGAGAAAAGGGAGAGGGGGAAAAACGCACCATGTTTCACAGATCAAGGCAGGCTTTCATGACTGGTTTTGGCCTAGGTTGGGTCTTGGCTCTCCGTCATCTTTGTACACTCCCTTATTTGGTGGGGATCGGGCTGCGGACGGGCTCCGGAACCATAGCTCTGTTCCCCCAACATTTAAGAACCAAATTCCCCTTTGGTGTAAAATGAAGTCACGAGCTTTGTAAGAAATGGAAAGCAGAGACACTTTTAGTGTTTTTTCTTTGAGAATATTCTGTAGTGTGGTGAAAGGCGGCCCAGAGTTCTGCCCTAATGTTGACAATACGTGAAACAATATTTGAATAAGCAGCAGGAGGGCAGCTCCCAGCTAATCCACTGTGGATAATCCAGCATTGGTCCAGGCCATATTGGTAGCTGGAGTATTCAAGCCCATCACAATACACATCAGCAGGGTGCCATGGCAGATATACTGACAGACGTACTAGAGGCATGACTGGGAAAGGCCGGCAGATGGATGGACAGGTGGATGGATGACAGAGAAATCTGGATGGATGAATAGTTGCATGAACCACGATACTGAACCGTTGTCTTACTCCTTCATATTTATATGTTCCATAATTAAAAGATGATTTTCTACTGGAAAGAAAAACACAGGAAGCTGTACTAAAATGTAGGAACAGTGTTTTATATGTAAAGCCCAGATACAAAGCAACGGGAAATGTTGTCTTCATGTTGTTTATTCTTAGTAAGACAGTAACAAGACGGTTAGAACTTTATTAATCCCTCAGAGTTCCCTTTGGGAAGTGGAGTCTAGTAGCAGCAAAATCGCACAAATAGGTCAAATACAATAAAATACAAACATGAGTAGCAGCACACTGTCGATGAGAATGGGAAACTGAACAGTGGATGTTGGTAGTAGAAGTAAGTTAGTAGAAGTACACAGTGTTAGTAGTATTAGTAGGTTAGTAGAGGTAGATAGACAGTGTTAGTAGTATTAGTAGGTTAGCCTGGTCATTCATGTCTTATAACTTTTCTTGTAGCTAAACAAACTTCTTCTACTTCATTAATTTCCCTCAAGACCAGAGCTCTGTGTCTCTTTCAAGCTCTTTATAATGAAGATTTCACTCCATGTCAACATCTAAATAGGCCTTTGTGCTGAGAGGCCCCCGAGAGATAAGCCTGTTTCTGACAGCTCTCGGTACAAATGCCTAAATCTGCTGTGGCAGCTGGAACAAAGGCTCCCGGAGCTGAACCCGCAACACTGACCATACGCACAACCACGGCCGTCTCA